CAGATTCCGGTTTTCGGGCGATCCGACGCGGCCCAGTGCTGGCAAGGGGGCTGTTTTGCGTCCTGGCGCAGCCGATCCGATCTGATCTCGACTCCGTGCCAGCGCAGCCCAATCCGACGCACGGACCGACTCTCGATCCGATCTCCCGATTCGATGCTGACTGATCCTGCCGAGGCCCTGGCCGAGTCCCGCCGGCGGCAGCTGGCCGTGGCCTGGGGCGCTGGCATGCTGGGCCTGGTCGCGCTGATGGCGGCCAGCGCCGCACTGCGCACCCGTGCGCGCAGCAGCGAGGGCTACCGGGGACGTCGGGCGAGAAAGGGCAGACTCTCGCAGAGCAGAAAGCTGGATCAACACAAGTTCTCTCGGCGGCGAGCGAAGGGGGAAGTGAGAAGGAGAAGGCCTTCGCAGAAGGATCGGACGCCCCCGGCCTTCCGGGAAGTTTTCTGAACCTTCCCCGAAGAAAAACATAAATGTTTCCCAGAAGGCGCGACGGCCTCTGAGCAGCCCCGCGGCCTTCTGAGAAGGCCTTCTCCTTCTCACCTTCCCCCCGGGCGCGCCGCAGAACTTGGTTCTTGGGCCTGGGCCAGAGCTCGGGTCTCCGGCGGCCGTTCGGAAGGATCCGGGCACCCCCGGAACGCTCTCGGCGAGGCGCGGCCGCTGGAACGCATCCCGAGGCTGGAAGGCCTCCGAGAACCGACGACGGCGACGCCCGAGCGCGCTCCACTGCTCGCAAAGTGCCTACCCGCAAGCGTCAGAAACACACACATGCTTGCTTCGACGCAATTCGTCGTGATGATAGCCCCCCCCGCGGCGGATCCAGGCCATCTGCGAGCAGTCACTCTGCGAGGGGTGGACCGCGCTCGTCCAGAGCAGGCCTTCTCCTGCCCACCTCCCCCCTCGCCCGCCGCCGAGGATCAGGAGGGAACAAAACACACAGACACAGACACAATGAATCGTTGATTCCCCAGACCAGATGGGAAAATATGGGAAGTGGGGGGGAAGGCAAAAACCCCAAAAATATAGGAAAATATGCGGAATCCGGTTATTTGTGCCTCTTTATCTGTGTGTCCCAGGGCCCCTTCGGAGGAGCATCTCGTTTCCCGGAGGCCCGCGCGGGTCTTTGTCGGGGGGGTCGGCGTCGGCCCTCCCCCGGCACGCGAAGCACGCCAGGGGGGGAGGGGGCCCCAGCGCCAGTGTTGCGTCGGGCCCGTCCCCCATACAGGAGGAACATTCGAAGATGGTCAGACGAGGGGCTGGGGACTGTGTTTCGAGTGCTTTTTGCCCACTTTTGAGTATCTGTTGGCTGTGTTTGATGCTTCCTCGGCAATCGGCCTGTAGGGGGGACAGGCCCGGCCTGACGCCACGCTCCAAGGACTCCGCGCGGGCCTCCCAGGAGTCATGCCGATATGCCGTTCTTGTTCCTTGACGCTCGGCCACGCGCAGAGGGGGGGGCAGGAAGGGGGGGAGGGCTTCGTAGGAGGACCCCTGCTTCTTAGAAGGTGAGGGCCTTCTCTTTTACTGCAGGGCCAGCTCCTTCTAAGAAGCAGCCGCCTACTAAGAGGCTTTCCCCCCTCCCGCACCCCCCTTTGCGCGCCGCCAATCTGCTCTCGCACCGAAGCGCGCCAGGGACGGGTCCCAGCGCCAAGCCACGAAAACTCCGCGCGGGCCTCCCAGAAGTGCTGGTCATGCCGTGCTCCTTCCTTTTTTCGACGCTCACGCACCGATGCTTTCCCCTTGGGAGGGTACCCCGCGCGGGCCTCCCAGAAGTTAGGCTTTCGTGTTTTTTGTTGTGCTCTCGCACCGAGGCTTCTCCCACGCCGGCCTCCCACGGAGGTCCCTCGTCGCCCCGGCCGGGCCCGTCGGAGAGGTGCCCCGAAGCACGGGCGGGCGAGCAAAAAGAGGGCGCGGCGCGAGGGGGGGCGGTCTCCCAAGAGGGCGCGGGTGGCTGCTCAGAAGGTAGGGGGCGGAAGTCGGGCATGCCCCTTCTACAGGAGGAAGAGGCACAAATAGTAGCAACATCGTCGGGGGACGTTGTTTCGACTACCTTTCATCACGATGTTTGAGCATCTGTCTTCACGATGTCTTATCCATCTCCTTCCAAGATACCCCTTCAGGAGGACATGCCCGACCTGTAGGTGGGGGCCTTCTCACCAGAGGGGCAGATTGCCCGTACCGCTTCCCTTTCTCAGACGAGGGAGGCTCTCGTCGCCACCGCTGGCTTCGCTGTCAATGCTGGCCAGAATGCGCCCGAGAGAGATCCGGGAAACAGCGGCATCCTTAATTGCCCTGGTGCGCTGGTCTCGAAACGCAATACGCACCGTGTTCAAAACGTCCGTGTTGACACGTTTCATGTTGGCTCAACGTGTTGGTCCACGCTTTGGCGAACGTGTCGCGCCAGACCTACGTTTTCAGTCTACGTGTCAAGCTCCGTGTCAACACGCTACGTGTTGCCCGTTGCGTCTCGGGGCAGCTAAGGTACCTCTTGGTTTCCCATCTTAGG